TAAACTTTGAAGTGTTTCGATATAATTTGGAAGAGATTCAAAGTAAGATATTGGAAAATGTCACGATGAGATGGTGCGTGATTGACACCAATCAAAAGATAATATCACAACAGATATTGGTACAAAATCTTTTAATTGGAATCTTTTAGGGATTATATAACGAGTAATAAGAGCTTTAGAGTTCACAATGAAAGTATACTTAAAATAGCAAAACAAATCGTTGATGATTTATTATTATTATCATTCGATCCAGTACTCGATGCTATAGCAAAATTGATTAACGAAATTGTTGGTATCTATGAGAAATCAGAATTTAGCAAACATATGTGTTCAAGCTTAGTAGATCAAGTATTAATGGCAGAATGTGAAATGAAAAGGTTAAGACTAATTAAAAAGCAATATGAAGGAAATTTTCAAGAACAAAAATATTATTATTCACTTCAAAAATTTAAACTATACTAGAAAAGGTTAAAAGATTTGTAGATAAATTTTTAAATATGAAATCAATCAATCAAGTAATGGATATTAAAGAAAAATTTGAATCTCTATAGCTGAAGAATTTGATACTGTGATGAGATATTTAAACATTAGTATGGCAATTAATTTAGATTAATAATGAAAGTTAAATAACATTGAATTAAAATTAAGTTTAAATGAAATAAAAAAGGTTAATTTAAAAAATTATATATGATATTTGTATACTTGTATTATATTACAAACATTTATTTTTTTTTAAAAAAACCTTTTGATATTAACTAGCTTAACTACCAAACAATCCTCAATTTTCCTTTATATTTGTATTTTATTATAGAATTTATACCATTTTACAAAAGTTTTTGTGTTAATTTGGTCTCTTTTCTTGCATCAACCCATATAGACACATAATAAACAGCTTAAAATCTTTGATTTTGTCATCTAACCTTGGTTTACTTTTAAAGATAAATATATTGTACTTTGGGCTTGTTATATTCTTTGAAAAGGATCTTGCCAATTATAATTATTTTCTATAGATGTTTCAAAAGTCCAAAAACTAATTTGTTAAATATTTTTTTTTTTTGTTATTAAGGTGAGGCCTTGTTCGTATCTTTATTAATAGTTTTTAATATAATAACTATAGTGAGTTATTAACCTTTAAATACATAAGATATAAAAAGTAAAAACTACATGCAAGAATAAAA